ATATTGGGAATCCATGCACTCATTAGATTACTGCTCTATTAGAAAAATATTAAAGGATATGACTCAACAGCCAGATAAGTAGATACAAAGATCCAGGTGTGGAGAAAGTACAGATACTTCCTAATACTAATGAAAACTACAGATGTTAGTTGTTTCACAACTGAAGTAACTTAATTATTTTGTCTGTATGGACATCACCCCAAATTACCATAGCCTGAGTGTGATTAGCAGCAGGTGTTAAAGCCCTTAGTCATCTCTGGATTACCATCAACAAATACTGTTAATCCCTTATTTTAGTATTTAAAAGTTCCTGGCTAAATACTCCTTATTTAATTAATCTCCCTATGCATTTTTGTGCCAGTACTCTCTGCCAGCAGAGAGCTTGGAGGTAATTTTGCATATGTGTGGTGAAAATAATGCAGAATTTTAAAGTTTGTAAAAAGTATAAGTAGATCTCTTTTTTTTAAAAGAAGATTATTTATGCACAGAGAACTGGGGTACAGGCCAGAGGCACAGGAGCAGTGAGAGGATTCACCAGCAACAGAGCCGGGAGCAGAACAGGCAGATCGACGAAGAACACTGCTGAGGGGAGCAGCGGGCGGGTCAGGAGAGGTCTGCCGCGCCCTGGGGTCACCTCCGGGGCTGGGGATCGAAGGGTCGAACTCTTGCTGAAGTGGCTGCGGCTAGCTTCCTAGTGCTGTGCTTTAACCCATTGTGCCACCAGGGAGGGCCCCAAAAGTATAAAGTAGATTTCAAAAAGTTAATTTAATTATTCACTTTTTGATTAATGTTTACAACTCCAGTGTCACATTAATACCTAGTAGTTTTCTAACTATTAAGTAGTTACTACTAAGTAGTTACTGTTAAGTAGTTTTGATTTTTATTGAGCTCACACTATACATAAAAATAAACTGAAGCTGACTAATAAACGTTAGGTGTAATAAAGAAAACATAGGAGTAAGTCTTCATGCTCTGGATTCAATGAGCCCTTCTAAGGTATGGCAGCAAAAGCACAGTAACAAAAGACAAATTAGGTGAATTGGACTTCTGGGCTTCGAAAGGACTCTAGTAAAACATTGAACTATTGTATACCTTAAAGGAAAACAGTGTTATATGTCAGCTCTATCTGAATAAAGCTGAGAGGAAAAGAAAGTGAAAAGACAACTCTCATAATGGGAGAAAATGACAAGTCATGTTGACAAGAGATTTTTATCCAAAATGTAAAGAACATTTTTAAGTCAGTAATGGGAAGATAAGTAGCCCAACCTTGAAAAGGACAAAGGATCTGTTTTTTTTTATTAATAAAAAGAAATTATAGATATACATATATCTTGTGCTCTCCTCCCCCCTGTTTTGATCCTCTTCCTTCTTCTCCCCTGCAGTATGTCTCCAATGTACAGTTTGCTTGCTAGTTTTGTATATTTTGCACTCTACCCCTTCTGAGGATTTCTTATATGCCTCCTATAAGTGAAACTATCCAGTATTTTTCTTTATTGAGAAGGGCCAAGGATCTGAATACACACAACTCTAAATAAATAAGCAAGTAAATAAGCACATGAAAAGATGCTCAGCATTATTAGTCATCACTATGAGAAATCACAATGAGAAATTCATAGGGAATTGAAAAGTTAATTGCCAATGCAACGAACCCCCACTTGACAAAGCAATCTTAAGCAATTTTTGAAAAAGAACAAAGCCAGAGACATCACATTCCCTAATTTCAAACTATGTTACAAAGCTGTTAAAATCAAAGCAACATGGTACTAGCACAAACACAGATCAACAGAACATAATAGAGAACCCAGAAATACACCCACATATATGTGGTGAATTAATTTAGGACAAAGCAAATAAGAACATACAGTGGGGAAAGAAAATTTCTTCAGTGACTGATGCTCAGAAAACTGCTCGATACCACTGTCTCACCCCACATGTAATATTAACGCTAAATGGAGCAGACTTGAAAGGAAGGCCTAGAGCCATAAAACTAGAAGAAAACTCAGGCAATAAACTCCTCAGCATCAGTCTCATCTCTGCATTGATTTTTTATTTTGCCGCCAAAAGCAAAGGCAATGAAAACCAAAACAAATTAGCGGAGCTCTGTGGAGCTGAAAAGCTTCTGAGCCGCTGTGGAAAGCATTGGCAAAGTGGAAGGACACCTTACAGAATGGTGGAAATATTTACAAATCCTATATCTAATAGCAGATTAATATCCAGGTTATATAGAGAACTCTTACAATTCAGTGACAGAAAACCAGCCAATGAAAAAATGGGTAGAGGATCTGAATAGACATTTTCCCAAAGACACAAATGGCTAGCAGTGGATAGGTAAAAATGTGCTTAGAGTTGCAAATCATCAGGGAAATGCAAATAAAAACCACAATGAGATATTATTTCATACCTGTAAGAACAGCTGTCATCAAAAGGACAAGAAATACCAAGTGTTGGTAAGGATGTGGAGACAAGGCAATCTTGCAGTTTTGTTTGTGGTAATGTAAATTGGTACAGCTACTGTGAAACAACATGGTGATTTCTCAAAAGATTAAAAATAGAACAACCATATAAGCCAACAATTCCACTTCTGTGTATTTAGCCAAGGGAAATGAAAACACTGACTCAAAATGATTTATGCTTGCCCACGTTTATTGCCATATTATTTACAGGAGCCAAGACATAGAAATGGTGTGTGTGTGTTTTGAGTGTGTAAAATATATAGATACTATGGAATATTATCCAGCCATAGAAAAAACAAAATATGACCACATTTGCAAACATGGTTGAATCTGGAGGGCATTATGCTAAATGTGATAAGTCAGACAAAGGCCAAAAACTGTATGATATCAGTTGCTAGAGGCTGGAGGTTGAGTTTGTGTGAAATGGGTGAAAGGGAATCAAAAGATACAAACTTACACTTATAGAAGAAATCATGGGAATATAATACTGTCTATTTAGAGACTGCTGAGGGGACTCTTTAAAGTTTTCCTCATAAGAAAACATTGTAACTACGTGCTAGTAGAGGTTAACCTGACTTATTAATGTGGTTAACTAGACTTTCTGTGGTGATCCACTACTTTGTAGTATAGACATCTACCCAACTGTTGTGTTGGATACCTGAAAATCTAAGTGTTATATGGCAGTTATATATTCATTCCTAAAAAGCCACAGTGAGAGAACATGTCACAACCACTAGAGTGTCTATGATTACAAAGACCGATCACAAAAAGTGTATTATAGTTTGTGAAGAAATTAAAATCCCCATCCTCTTCTGGTGAGAATGTGAAATGGTGGAACCACTTTAGAAAACAGCCTGGCAGCTCCTCAAAATGTTAATTAAACTTAGTGTTAGCAAATGACTCTGCTCCTACGTGTGTATATAGGAAAAATGAAAACATGCTGTGTGGCTATAAAAGCCCACCTGTGATTTGATTCCATGAAATGCCAGTATAGGTAGAAGCAGAGAAACAGAAAGCAGCTTTATGGCTGTTAGGGTGGAGATGGGGAGATGGGAAATTATGGCTAATGAGTATAGAGTTTCTTTTTAGGGTGATGAAAATGGTCCAGAGTAAGATAGTGGTGGTGATTGCTACATGCTGTGAACACTGCACCCACTGAGTCATAAACTTCAAAAGAGTGAATTTCTCAGTGTGTAAGTTTTATTACAATATAATGTTATTTGAAAAAAATAAAGTAGCTGCCCTATCCCCCATTCTGCTTTCTTGTCTTTGAAAGATCGTGGATGGAACATCCTGTGTTGCTGTTCCATCTTGTGGCTGCCACATGCGCTTTACTCAAAGACCCAGGTGACATGGGTCTTTGGTTCTTACTCAAAGGCCAGTGTGACCCAAGTTGCCTGGTGGTCAGGGGGTCTTGGGGAGCAGTTGCCCAAGTTCCCTGGATATCTGTGTGCAGACAAGCAGCTCAGGGGACACTCAGTGATCCTGAGGGCCAGCAGTCTCACTCACCCTAGAAAAGGGTTTTACCAGGTTATGGATAAGATCACTCACCAGGCAATAGAGAAGCTTATTTGATTCGTGCTACTGTGTTGGAGCTGTGAACAAACAAGTGACAAAGAACTTCTGCCATATTATCTTACGTGATTTGAATATTAGATTATTATTACTACCTCCTGTTCTTAGAAGTCACTCAGTTCAGTATGCATTAACATCTTGTTGTATTCAGCATCTCCTAATCAAAAGATTACATATATGTATACTATATTAGTCATTTTTAAAAAGATTTTATTTTTTATTTGTTTATGCATATAAGAACTAGTGTGTAGGCCAGAGGTTCAGGGGGTGGGAGGATTCAGCAGAGACTGAGTGGGGAGAACAAACAGATCTACTGAAATACGCTGCTGATGGCAGCAGCAGGTAAAACAGGAGAGGTCTGCTGCACCACGTGGGCAGCTCCCTGGCAGGGGATTGCACTCACATATCAGTGGCTGGCTATAGCTTGATGGTGCTGACACTTTAACCTTTGCACCAACAGGGAGACTGGAGAATTGTTCATTAAAGAAAGACCTTTATTCATTAAAGATCGAACATTAGACTATGATTTTTAAAATCAGCTCTGTCCTAAAGCTCATGTTCTCAAACTTCTCTGCACATTAAAAGCACCTGGACCTCATTAACGGTGTGGATTTTCTAGATTATTCCCCACCAAGAGACTGGGTTAATCTGAATTGTTAAGGAATACCCTAGATGATCTGAGGAGTGGGGTGGGAGCGTGGGTTACTCTGAGAAACACCCTGCTGGAGACTTCTAGAATTAGGAGTAACGCGTGTGGTTACAGCAGTCTTCATGCTGCTTAGATTATAGGTGTTTCTGGGGGAACTTTGCAGCAGCTTGATGTTAGAAATCTACCCAAACTCTCATTCTCTACAAGAACATACCATTTCCTCCCAGACATAACAGAAGGAGAAACCGTGCAAAGTTTTGGTTACTGCTGCCAGCTTCTTTGTCGTCCACTTACTCAGCGCTTTCTCCACCTGCTGCTCCCAGATTTCATTTGACCTGGCTGAATACACTGCAGATGTGGATGGCGTCGGCACTCTGCGGCTCCTGGATGCAGTCAAGACCTGTGGCCTCATCGACTCTGTGAAGTTCTACCAAGCCTCCACCAGTGAGCTTTATGGGAAAGTGCAAGAAATCCCGCAGAAGGAGACCACTCCTTTCTATCCTCGGTCCCCTTACGGTGCGTCTGCCCTGTGGGAGTGGGCTGTGCGTGTGTGTGTCTGTTTGTGTCTCATGGCTGAAGTCATCTGGGTGTGAGATGAACATTGACATGACTGAAGTGACCAGACTTGTTGAGAAACATACTTTTCTCTGTTGCTAGCTATGAGCATTCGCTGCCACCCTCTAGGGCAAAGTTTCCACCTCCGTTCCCCACCCCCCGGTCATCCAGCCCTTCCTCCACATCACTTTACAAGGAAGAGCACACCCTACACTTTTTTTTTTTTGACCCTGCTGATGTGAGATTGTGCAGAAGTGAGAAGGTTTGACGTGTTTCACTCTCCCACTAAAAGTTTTCCTGAGCAAAATCCAGAAGAGGGTCTATACAACAAAACATCACAAAACAAACAATTATAAACCAGAGAGATTCTACAGGGGAGGAGGACAGAGAGGGATCAGAAGGAGGAAGGAATGTGGGGGCTATGGCGATGATGGGTGGGGAGGGGGGAAGTAAATGTTGTTAAATGAACAGTAATGTAAATAGATTCATAAAAAAATTAAAAATCTACAAATGCAAAAAAAGATATTGGAAGTAAATTTCAAAATAATAGAATATTAGGATTCCATATGTTTCACCAATTCCTTAAACCTAAGAAAGAGGGACTAAGACCTAGAAAGTTCCATTTAATACACTTTACGTGTGACTGTTGGGTTCAGTGGGTTTCAGAGCAGTGGGTTTCAGAGCAAGAACTGTAGATTTTACAGAAGTTAAGAAACTCTCCAGTAACCTCTGTGCTCATGATTAGCCGGCAAAGGAGCCTTTACTGTGTCTTTGACTTTCTTTGTGTCTTTTTCTGTCACGATTGTGCAGCTCGTTACTTGTTTAGAAGATGCGTGAGAAACACTGTCTTTCATAACAAACTTCATTGTCTTTAAAACAATTGTCCCCACAGGGGCAGCCAAGCTCTATGCCTACTGGATTGTGGTGAACTTCCGCGAGGCGTATAACCTCTTTGCAGTGAACGGCATTCTCTTCAATCACGAGAGCCCCAGACGAGGTTAGTAACAATATTCAAGGAAAAGAGGCCTGTAGATTTCACGACACCCAGAGAGCTGGGTGTGGTCTCCATAGGTGTGCCAGGGGACAGGGAACTTTTCCATCTAGTTTGTGACTGTCAAAAGCAGTCAATGAAGAAACGCAAATCCGGCCTTAGTTACCACATTTGTTAGGTCCAGAGTGTTGCAATTGGCCCATTTTCCTTGGTATGGCGTATAGAGCATGTTTCCAAGCTCAGTTTCTTTAGAGTTCCCATATGCATGTAAGAACACAAGCAGAAAAGAGGTGTTTGTTTCTGGAAGTCACTCTTCTTCACAGTCTCCTTGATTCACTGACCACTTGCTGTTCTTTCTTTGCATCCCATTAGCAGATACCCAGAAATTACTTTGCTTCAAGAATCGTCTTTAAAATACTTGATTCTTATATTTAGGATCATTGTCTTATCCCCCTCCCTTCCCCTCCCTCCAGGAAACCATATTTGTTTGCATTAACTTGTTGCTTTTTCATGTTGTCAGCGAGACCGCTAGAACATGGTGTGTCAAATACCACATTTAAAGGAAGAAAATGTGTACTGTCATCATTAATTCTGATTTACAGGAGTGTGAGGAGTCTACAAAACGTGCATGCTAGTCCAAGTCAAAAATCACACAGTCGAATTCTAGGGACTGTGATCACTTAGCCTTTAGCTTGAGCATAAACAAGAAGTCCAGCCTGCTAAGTTGTTTTGTGCTCAACAAGCAGCAATGCTTATAATTTTTTAAGTGAACTTTTATGTGACTGGATAGCCACATAATCAAACCAACAAGCCGCGGGGAGAGATTAAAGTGACAGGTTTACAAAGGTATCTTTACTGTCCATGCATATTTATTTTATAATTGCGTAAGTTTAAAACTCCCACGATGGGCTGTTAAAGCCCAGGAACTCAGCCTGTCCTCTCTGCTGCCCAAAAGGAAAACAAATTAACAAGCAGCCAGAAACATTGCTTTAATTAATTTTGTGGTTCTGGTTTCTTTAGTCCAGGAAAAAGGAAAAGAGCATCTCGGCTGTCCTTGCCACCGCTCTGGGTGTGGTGGGCATTCAGGAGTCAGTTCAGGAGGTGATGGTCACCTCACCTCTTTGGCCATCACATATGGTGACTTGCGTGTTGTTGTTAGGATAGAAAAAATCATTCTTAGCTACAGAACGAAAAGGTGAAGTTAAATATAATCCCTCCACACACACACACACACACACACACAATAGATCCTGTGTTTATATACCTCATAACATAACTGTTTTTTGCATTGTTAATGTTGATTACTTGCTTTCTTAAAAAAATTTCTTACTTCTAAAGTAACATTTCTTTAAAAAAAAAAAAGTTGGAAAGTAGCTTTTGCACTGTAACTGTGGCAGTTCCAGATGTTCTTCATTGAGAGTCAGCATGTGTCCATACTACCTCAAGGTCACCATAAAAGTCTGTATCTCTCCTTCCACGCCCTGGTTCCTTTTCATTTAAGAGAGAAGAGAACAGCGGAGAAGGATCAAAGGGGAAGAGGAAAGTGGAAGGCCCCTCCCTCACACTGACTCCCAGCTCTCTCTTTAGACTCCCGCTCCCCTTCAAACTGCCCCAGCTTGAACACACAGATAAGGCTCTTTTGGGGTACCGCTCTGCACCTGGGATTTTGGTTAAGTGTTTGTTACACACCTCAATCGTAGCATCACCCTTAGTTATAGTAACCATGTAGAAATCAATGATAATTCATTTACATAATCAAATAATGAAAAATTTATAGAGCTACATATGGAAATGAACTAGAGGCATCCAGTGTAATACTTGCTATCTGGTAATTCTTACAGCCTTTCTTGGGACTGGAAAATCAGTTTTGCTATTAAATCAGTCTGAGAATTATAATAACGTTTTGCCACAATTAGCTGGTATTTTCTATGGGGATTCTTCGCCAGACCGAGCGTTTAAATCCCTGATGTGAAGACTGTGTTGTTCGCTAAGGTCAGCCGTGCCTACCTGTCAGTGTTTAGTGGATATTTTTAAATGAGCAAATAAAAGGTCACCTCATGTATCAGTAAAACTGCACTAACAGGAAAGCCAGGAAGTCTGTTAGATATCAGTGAGAATTTATAAGGTACAGTCGAACCCCCCCTTTCTCCACGGGGGCCATGTTCCAAGATCTCCCACGGGCCACCTGAAACCTCGGACACATGCTGTGGCTTCCTGTGTGTACGTGTGTCCTTGTGATGAAGTGTCACATAACTTAGGCCCAATAAGAAGTCAGCATCAATAACTGAATTATTATTATTATTATTAATTATTGCTGAAAGTGGTAACAGTGCCCTGGAGAGAAAGGCACGCGACGTGGTCTCTTTCGAGTCTTACTGTACGTAACGGTGTGAGGCCACGTTCACTGTGGGTCACAAACCAAGCAACGCAGCCTGCCGGGAAGGGCGACGGCTGTGGTGGTCACGCAGATGTTGTTACTGGTCGCGTGATTAGAGGCCGTGACAGTAACAAACCGCCCTGAAATGGAGATTAAGGCTGATTTACCTGGCTAACCAGCTCGACTTCATTTTTACATTTTAAGCGTGCACTAGCTCTCCATCTTCCTTTGCCCACTTACCACGGAGGCAGGCGCGGGGCTGCATCTTGAGCTGCTCCGTGGTAGGTCATCACCACACCCGACTTCTCGCACCCAAACTGACGCAGCTTTGGGGTACACGTGCTTGTCTGCTAATGAGAAACAGTTGACGAAGTCCCTTTGATTGGGTGATCAAACACACCATGAACATTTCAGATGAAAAAGTATAGGACCAGAATTTTTCTTCAAAGATTTTTGTTTATGCTTACAGAAGTGGGGTACAGGCCAGAAGTGTGATGGGTGAGAGGATTCCCCAGAGACAGAGCGGGGAGCAGAACAGGCAGATCGACGAAGCACACTGCTGAGGGGCGCAGCGGGCGGGTCAGGAGAGGTCTGCCGCGCCCTGGGGGTCACTCCCTGGCCGGAGATCGAGCTCATGCTGCAGTGGCTTCAGAGAGCTTCATACTGCGGTGCTTCCACCCGCTGTAAAATAGCACAGTACTGGCGTGACCTGTGCGGGAACCCCAGGTTCTTTGGGGGGTGCACTGTGAATGCTGTGTAGATAGGTATTGTCAAAGGGATACCGACAAGAAAGAAAGTCCACGCACACGCACACAGACGGCCCTGTGGTGGGCTTGTGCTTCCCACGGACCTGTTTTCCCTCCGTGGGTGCTGCGTCTGGAATTGGAGGCTGCAGACCCAGAGGGCGGGTTAGCGTGACAGCCACAGTAGTAACCATGCGCGGGTCCTCGCTGAACAAAAGGAGGAGTCTCTGTAGTTCTGGACTAAGTTGCACCACGCTAGACATCTCAGGACTGGCCTCCTCGTGTTGATTCTACAAACTCGCAGTTTCTTCCTCTGCCTGGCTCTTCTATTATACATCTCTGTATGCACATGCATACAGGCTCTGCTCACACACAGGTGGATGTGCTGCTTTCTGTTGGAAACACAGACTGACAGATTCTCTGTTTAGGAAGAAAAGGAGATGCTTATCATGTAGAGCTGTTGCATTTCTAGGAGGAAAATGTCATGTGTGAGAACTCATTTTGCTTTTGTTGGTGATTCTTCTTTTTAAAAGATTTACTTATCTATGCGTACAAGAACTGGGGTTAGGCCAGAGGTGTGGGGGCTCAAAGGACTCACCAGACACAGAGTGGGGAGTAGAACAGGTGGAGCCACTGAAATACACCGCTGAGGGGAGCCTCAGGGAGACAGGAGGGGTCTGCTGTGCCTGGGTGTCACCTCTGTGGCCAGCAATTGCACTCATATGTCGGTGGCTGGCTATCGCTTGATGGTGCTGAGACTCTAATCCCTCTGCCACCACGGAGGCCCTGTTGCTTTTTCTTTGAAAAGCTCATCAGTTAATAAGAGCTTGGTGTCAGAAAGTTGTTAAAGATACAAATTAAACTGGAAAAGATATTAAGAAAAAAATTATGAATGAAGATATTAGACTTTCTCTTCAAATGTACTGATCATCATTAGTAAAATCTACTTTTACCTTTAAGGTTACTCTTCACGCCAGCACATTACAGCACGTCTGTTAGGAAAGCTAATATTTCTAGTTCTGATTGGATATTTCATGAAAGGACCTGGTAACAGGATACCTAGGAGTCATCACCTGGATAATTCCACCATTTTGATAATTACGTTTTATTATGTCAGCAGATGATTTTGGCATGTCACAAACAAGTCTGCTGACCTCTAGTAATCATAAATATACGTTAATGGAAGTGTGATTATGTTATGAAAATAAGGGACATTTTGCATGGTTATTAAGGGGGAGCAAAGGTAAAGTGCTTCTCCCTTCTGGTTTCAGAAGATGGAAAAATGGAGTGATTAGATCAAACCTGACTCCATCGTGAACTTTGCTGTAGGTAGCTATGGCGATTCAGGACGAAATGCACTAAACGCTGGGGTCCTTCTTGAAGTTGACTATCGGTGTGCCTGTAGAACTCGTATCTTCTCAGGTTCCCGCAGCTAAGGGCCGTCTGTGCTTCTGAGCGCCTCCCCCGAGCCTGTCCTTGAGGACCAGGCGGCCCGGCGTGTCCTTGGGGAAAGTGCTCTGCTGCCTGGTGTCTGCTCCGTGTCTGCAAGATCCCAGTGGTGTGACCCATTTACCTTTGACTCTCTTTCTGGCGCCACCGATTTTACAGCAGGTCAACTGTCCAGTCTTCTGAGCATGTTTTTCTTGTGCTACGTCTCTTAGTCTGAAGCTCATTAGTCAGTCTGGACAGTGTAGTGACTCCCACTTACAGAATCAAGGAAGAAGCCAAGTTTGGCAGGTGAACCTGCCTCACCGCAGCAGATTACCAGCAGTGAGTCACGTGTGGCAGATGACTTCATGCTCCGGACCCCTTCAGTCTGAGTAAGAAGCCACGGTCCGAGTGATGTCTTCCCTCTCCTCCCACTCTTTTTCTTCTTCTTTGTTTTT